CTAGGGACTGTTGGGATTCTTTGATCTGTTTCCCAGTGTAGGAGGAATCCCCATGGCATCTCCAGTGAACTGTGGACCAGAGGAGCCTGCAGAGGGGCCAGATACACAGGGAAGTTTTGTAGTATCATGGCTAAAAAAAGAGCGACAATCACTAAAGAGGAGCACCAATCAACAGCAAGCTGATTGGAGGCTCACTTCCTGAGTTGGTCATTGCCAAGCGCAGGCCAGATTTGTTCTGTAAAGGAGCTCCAAGCGGGCAGGAGACCCACGAGGACGTTTCTGGTGCTGTGTTAATTTTCCAGGCTCCAGCAAAGTAGCACCGACTATGTCTCCTCAAAATAGAAAGACATCTGGAACTGGGCCAGGTTTCCACAGGGTAAGGTTACAGTCTGAGCGACGCTAGTGTGGCAGGCTCTGCTGTACTTGTGGGTTATAAAGGGTCGAGAGCTTGGCAGGTCCTCTGTGGAGATCTATTTAAGGCCATGACCTTGGAATAGAGATTTGATACCACGGGGGTTCTGGGTAGAATGGAGAGCCTGCTGATGTCCAGGGGGAGCTGCCTGCAAAGGTCCTACTGAATGTGGTGTGGATAGGAGAGGCACAACTTGGTTTTGCCTGTGGCAGGGTCCCTTTATGCTTCGTCGGAGACAGGGAACCAGAGGAAGGGAGGTAAGACCTAGAATTGTAAACATTGTCCAAGCTTCCTCCCCATTGCCAGCCTCACTGGGCTGACAACATCATATTAACCTAACAACTGCTTATGTGCTTATGCCAATCTTGATAGCACATAGAGGAACAGAAGATATTGAGCCAGATAGAGAGAAAAGTTGAGGAATGGAGTGATTCTTGCGACATAGGACATTGGAGACAATGCTCCAGGCTTAATAGGTAAGATATGAGGTCTGTGGAGCTGGTCTCACCCATTTCCCCCCCTTCCAGGTTCTTTCTCCAGTTCATGAACTTACTCCAGTAAGATCACATCCCCATATGTTTGCATGTCTACAAATGCATATACGTCTCCCCAAATATCCAGTCGATTCAAGAAACTTAAGCCCCATATTCCCCAAGTCCCCCCACCATTGCATCAAGATTTCCAACTCCCTTTATAGGCACCGTTGTCAACAGATTCCCAGAGGCCTCAGTCCTGCCAGGAAGTTCCATCTGCAAATGTCTCAAAGACCCGAGGGTACCCAGGAACTTCAGTGCAATCAAGGCTCCAAAAGCATCCATCGTCTGTGACAAACCGATTCTCCAAATGTCCCAAAGCCCACTCTTTCCTCCAGGAATGCTAATGCAATGAAATCTCCAATGGCATTGAGTCTCCCAGGGTTTCAAAAGCCTTTTTAAACGTCAATTCAGTGTGTGTTTTGAAACAATCTCAGTGTGTGGAATACAGGGAACAGACTCACCTGAAACCAACACTGCATTAGTTTCCCCAAATGTGACATTGAGGCATGAAGCACCACCACACCTCTCCCTTGCTGTAAAGATTTCTTGGCATGGACTGGTCCAGTGTGAGAGGTATTCTGTGGACTCGGGATGTAACTCTTTGTCCCCAAGTCCTCCTACGTGTCCAGACTCTCATGCATCCATTGCCAGAGCTGCTCAGAAGTTGGATGTAAGTACTGAGCATCCTCTGGCCCTTTGGCTGCCACTTTGGTGGGAACTGGAGCCTCCAGAGATGCTAAACCTTCAACCCCCGCTGGTTCCCTCTGGCCTTCAACTATTGTGGTTTTCCCAGAGTCGGGAGTGGCCTCAGGGGCTTGACCACCATGCAGGTCGTCTTGAGAACTTTACATTGAACGTTCCATGGCCTGATCTTTATGGAGAGATGCTTCCAGACTGGCGTTGAATTGGGGAATCGAGCCCACAGTAGATGTGCCTGGAGACGCGACTCTAAGTTGGCAGATGCAAGGACAGATAAGTGACCACGGGAATGTGTTGATCGAGAAAAAGCTTCAGGGATTCCACTGGACTCTGGCACTTGAGAGCCCACAGGTAGGTGCTTGGATCTCAGTTCAGGTCTTCTGCAATAGCAGCAAGTGCTCTTCATCGCTGAACTCTCTCTCTTGTTCCATAGAGTAATAATGGTTTTAAATCATGTGCGAGATTCCCATGTCACATCATGTCACAGCCCATGATAAACAGAGTCCATTGGAGCAAATTGTTCCCTTTGTGTGTATTTCAGCTGTGGATTCAAGTCACGTGGGGGCCTCACTCTACGGGGTAACTTTATTTCTAGGGACACTGCATAAACTTGATATATATATATATATATCAGCCCAACATGCTATTGAGCCAGACACCTCAGGAGTATATTGCAACATCCTTTTGAAATAGATTTGGTGTCTGCCAGCACTCATAGCTCAGTATAGGGGTGAAGATGTCAGAGAAAAATATGTAGGAGTTACTTTACTTGTTCCTACCCTGTTAGTCCCACAGATCACCAGTCTTCGTGGCAACTCCTGACTTCGAGTCATATCCTGTGGCCACCTGTCCACTTCTACTTTTTTTTTTTTGGTTTTTCGAGACAGGGTTTCTCTGTGTAGCTTTGGAGCCTGTCCTGGCACTCGCTTTGGAGACCAGGCTGGCCTCGAACTCACAGAGATCCGCCTGCCTCTGCCTCCTGAGTGCTGGGATTAAAGGCGTGCGCCACCAATGCCCGGCTTTGGTGTGGCTTTTATAGTAGACAAAGCAGGCAGCTCTGGGGTGATACTTATCCAGTAGAGGAAGAGAGGAGAGAGAAACTCAAGGTGGAGTGGGGGGGACTTTTGGGAAAAGGGGGGTTTCTGATAGAGGGAGACAAGTGTCTTTAGCAGAGGGAACGTGCTGCATGGGGCCCAAGAGGGCTTATTAGGCTCCAGGAACCAGAGAGACCGTTATGAAGAAGACAAGGAGAGATTAATGCTTAAAGATCAGCGGAAGAATCCGACTCTAGAATTTGGAATCAAATTTTGTGGGTAGCTGAAGCCAGCAGAGAGGAGAGGCAAAGGGGCAGCTTGGTTTGGAGAGGCAGAGTCCCTTGGAAGGTGTTGTGCCCAAACTCTGAACCCCAGAATCACCAAGAGACCTGATCCCATGCAAAAGCAGGCGGAACCAGGAGGGACCTCAAGCAACAGTGGGGCAGGGAATTTATTAGGGTAGAGCAAGGGGAGTGTCTGGGCCCCCACAACAGTCTCAGGATGGGTGCACTTCCCGGCTTGAGCAACCTGTCCTGAGTTGATGGGTCTGCTGCAGCTGCAGTAAGGTGGCTACTGCAAGAGGCCCTTCCAGCGAGGTTGCTATGCTCTGCATGTCCAGGACCCTCCAGCTAACTTCTGATTGGTTCCTTGCCACATGGAGGTTATCTAGGTTTCTAGTGACTAGGTTGGGCAACGTTGGGAGCTCAGCACATGTAAGTCAGAGGCCTTAGTCTTGCTGGGTCTTTTCCACAGCCTGTCATGGCTACCAAAGCAGGGGGCTGCTCCCTTCAAAGGGAACTCATTTATGCCAATCTCTGTTCCAATACCAGATGAACGAAAAAAAGAGGGCATGACAGCTCTTACGTATGTTTGAGCTGTGAGGGAGAGAACACCTTGAGGCATCTGGCAGGGTCCAGTTATCAGTGGAGAGACGGGGACGGGGGAGGAAGAAAGAAAGAGGAGAGAGAGGGAGCAGAGAGAGGAGCCGAGGACCAAGAGACCAAAAGAGTGCCTAGGAGCCCAGAGA